AGTTCCCGCTGTTCCCAGTCTTAAAATGTGCAGACATTCAGATGAATACATGATGACTCGACTCAACCTCGACTCTGACTCTTCTTGGGTCAATCAGACTCGGACTAGGACTACAGCACAGGTAATGATGACTAGGACTTAGACTTAGACTAGATCACAGGTAAAGATGACTAGGACTTAGACTAGAGCACAGGTAATGATGACTAGGACTTAGACTAGAGCACAGGTAATGATGACTAGGACTTAGACTTAGACTAGAGCACAGGTAATGATGACTAGGACTTAGACTAGATCACAGGTAATGATGACTAGGACTTAGACTAGAGCACAGGTAAAGATGACTAGGACTTAGACTAGAGCACAGGTAATGATGACTAGGACTTAGACTAGAGCACAGGTAATGATGACTAGGACTTAGACTTAGACTAGAGCACAGGTAATGATGACTAGGACTTAGACTAGATCACAGGTAATGATGACTAGGACTTAGACTAGAGCACAGGTAATGATGACTAGGACTTAGACTAGATCACAGGTAATGATGACTAGGACTTAGACTAGAGCACAGGTAAAGATGACTAGGACTTAGACTAGAGCACAGGTAAAGATAACTAGGACTTAGACTAGAGCACAGGTAATGATGACTAGGACTTAGACTAGAGCACAGGTAAAGATAACTAGGACTTAGACTAGAGCACAGGTAATGATGACTAGGACTTAGACTAGAGCACAGGTAAAGATGACTAGGATTTAGACTAGAGCACAGGTAAAGATAACTAGGACTTAGACTAGAGCACAGGTAATGATGACTAGGACTTAGACTAGAGCACAGGTAAAGATGACTAGGACTTAGACTAGATCACAGGTAATGATGACTAGGACTTAGACTAGAGCACAGGTAATGATGACTAGGACTTAGACTAGATCACAGGTAATGATGACTAGGACTTAGACTAGAGCACAGGTAAAGATGACTAGGACTTAGACTAGAGCACAGGTACTGATGACTAGGACTTAGACTAGAGCACAGGTAATGATGACTAGGACTTAGACTAGAGCACAGGTACTGATGACTAGGACTTAGACTAGAGCACAGGTAAAGATAACTATGACTTAGACTAGAGCACAGGTAATGATGACTAGGACTTAGACTAGAGCACAGGTAATGATGACTAGGACTTAGAGTTAGACTAGAGCACAGGTACTGATGACTAGGACTTAGACTTAGACTAGAGCACAGGTACTGATGACTAGGACTTAGACTAGAGCACAGGTAATGATGACTAGGACTTAGACTAGAGCACAGGTAAAGATAACTAGGACTTAGACTAGAGCACAGGTACTGATGACTAGGACTTAGACTAGAGCACAGGTAATGATGACTAGGACTTAGACTAGAGCACAGGTAATGATGACTAGGACTTAGACTAGAGCACAGGTAAAGATGACTAGGACTTAGACTAGATCACAGGTAAAGATGACTAGGACTTAGACTAGATCACAGGTACTGATGACTAGGACTTAGACTAGATCACAGGTAAAGATGACTAGGACTTAGACTAGAGCACAGGTAAAGATGACTAGGACTTAGACTAGAGCACAGGTACTGATGACTAGGACTTAGACTAGATCACAGGTAAAGATGACTAGGACTTAGACTAGAGCACAGGTAAAGATGACTAGGACTTAGACTAGAGCACAGGTAATGATGACTAGGACTTAGACTAGATCACAGGTAATGATGACTAGGACTTAGACTAGAGCACAGGTAAAGATGACTAGGACTTAGACTAGAGCACAGGTAATGATGACTAGGACTTAGACTAGAGCACAGGTAATGATGACTAGGACTTAGACTAGAGCACAGGTACTGATGACTAGGACTTAGACTAGATCACAGGTAAAGATGACTAGGACTTAGACTAGAGCACAGGTAACGATGACTAGGACTTAGACTAGAGCACAGGTAATGATGACTAGGACTTAGACTAGAGCACAGGTACTGATGACTAGGACTTAGACTAGATCACAGGTAAAGATGACTAGGACTTAGACTAGAGCACAGGTAAAGATGACTAGGACTTAGACTAGAGCACAGGTAATGATGACTAGGACTTAGACTAGATCACAGGTAATGATGACTAGGACTTAGACTAGAGCACAGGTAAAGATGACTAGGACTTAGACTAGAGCACAGGTACTGATGACTAGGACTTAGACTAGATCACAGGTAAAGATGACTAGGACTTAGACTAGAGCACAGGTAACGATGACTAGGACTTAGACTAGAGCACAGGTAAAGATGACTAGGACTTAGGACTTGAGATGTTAAAACAATAGATATGTTTACCACAAGCTAAAGGTCTAAGTGTGTTGAAGTATTCCAACAGGGTGAGGATGCTCCAGACGAGGAGGTATAATGAAGAAGGGAAAGACACTTAAAGGTCCATAAAAAGAGATTGATATCTTATTGTGAGAGCAGACGAGCGCCAGGAGGCTG